GAAATTTCCTTTCCTTTCCTGTCCTTTCATTTGTTCTATTTTTTTATTACTTTTATTAGGCTAAATGCTTGGAAACTGGGGAGACTTTTGCTATAAAGAAAGTCTTGCAGGACAGACGTTATAAGAATCGTGAGCTGCAGTTAATGCGCTTGATGGATCATCCAAATGTTGTTTCCTTGAAGCATTGTTTTTTTTCTACAACTAGTAAGGATGAACTCTTCTTAAATCTGGTCATGGAATACGTTCCTGAGACTATGTATCGAGTACTGAAGCACTACTGCAATATGAACCAGAGGATGCCACTCATCTATGTGAAACTTTATACTTATCAAGTTTGAACTCACACTCCCAGAGACTATTCAACATTTTTTCTTTGTCCTTTTCATTCTTCATTTTCTAATCTAAATTTATGTGTTTATTAGATCTTCAGGGGACTAGCTTATATACACACTGTTCCTGGAGTTTGTCACCGCGATGTAAAGCCTCATAATATTTTGGTATATAACCTATTTGTCTCTTATATTTGTGAGCTAAAAAATACTTTAACACGTTTTCTAATAGAATAGCCCCTTACAATTTGCATGTTAATTGAAGTTTCCTTCTAATATAGAATAAACTTTGCAGGTTGATCCTCTCGCGCATCAGGTCAAGCTTTGTGATTTTGGAAGCGCAAAAGTCCTGGTATAGCTATCGCTATTTCTATCTTATATCTTTAAATGGTGAACAAGGCTACTCTAAGTTTAATGGTCGTTGATGAAGACCCTAGTGTTGAAAAAGAAATGATTTTATTTTGGTGAAGATGTAGGTTATCAAATTAGCCAAATGATTTCATTTGTGAGAAAAAAATGAATATTTTCTCAAGGGTGATTTTCGGTACGATTTCTGGATGCGTAGTTACTCAGAAAGTGGTCTAAAATTATTTCATCTGATTTCCAGATTTGCTTATTATGTTGAGCATTCATGAAATAGTATTGACAATTGGTTCACGATTAATTTATTGCTCTTTGTTTTATATACCATTTTATGTCCACAATATCTTTATTATAATATTTTTGTCATCAGGTTAAAGGTGAGGCAAACATCTCTTACATATGCTCCCGTTACTATCGAGCTCCAGAGCTCATATTTGGTGCAACGGAGTACTCTACATCCATCGACATATGGTCCGCTGGTTGTGTTCTTGCCGAGCTGCTTCTAGGCCAGGTTGACATCTTGTGGCAGTTTCTGATTATTACTATCTATGACAGAGAGGTTATGAAATTCATTCAATTTAATTTCTCATCTCTTTGTAGCCATTGTTTCCTGGGGAAAGTGCCGTAGATCAACTGGTTGAGATAATCAAGGTGAAGCCTAATATCTGGTTCACTGAACACATTTCTCACGGCCATGAAAGATGATTGTTGTAACTTAATCTTCTTTTTACCAACTTCCAGGTTCTTGGCACTCCAACTCGAGAAGAAATTCGATGCATGAATCCAAATTATACAGATTTTAGGTTTCCTCAGATCAAAGCCCATCCGTGGCACAAGGTATTTTATTAGCACATGCATGTCTCAAGGTTCTGTCAAACTGTTCACCCAGTCCTATTTTGAATATATATCACTCGTCCATAAATTTTTGTCTAAACGGATCCATTTGTGATTGACTTGTCTCTCTCTGCAATTTTCTCTGCTCCTGTAATTAATACATTTACGTAAATCCCATTTAGGTCTTTCACAAACGAATGCCACCCGAAGCTATTGACCTTGCTTCAAGGGTTCTTCAATATTCTCCCGGCCTTAGGTCGACTGCAGTGAGTTCAAACTTTTCATACTCTTCTGTTGATAATCTAGTAATATATTACAATACAAATAGCATACCCAGAACTTTAAGGGTTCTTCAATATCTAAAATCTAGAAATATATTATAATACCTATATCCAGAAACTTTACGAATCTTTGGACATGCAATGGGCTGAATTCTCCAATTTTCTACCATTTTGATCTGTACATTACTACATCATGTAATTTAAGTTGTTTTTTCTGACCAACTTTAATCTACCATGGGCCAGCTTGAAGCATGTGCGCATCCCTTCTTTGATGAACTTCGGGAGCCTAATGCCCGCCTCCCCAATGGTCGTCCATTGCCCCGGCTCTTCGATTTTAAACAGGAAGTATGTCTATAATTCGTTTACGTTTTTTTTTCCAGCGGTAGATTTGGCCTTTCCATCTAGCTGCATCTAAGATTAATATATATAATTCATTTCTCCTAGATATTTTTGTCGATTAATTTTCCATAATTAAATTTATTTTTCAGCTTTCCGGAGCATCACCTGAATTGATAAAGAGGCTCATACCAGAGCATGTTCGGCGGCAGACTGGACTAGCGTTACCTCATCAAGCAGGTACAAACATTAACTCGAGGCCATGAAAGGACTAAGTTCTTCTTTATCAAAAGCTGTGAAGCTTGAGAGGCCTGCGTCTCTGAAAGCCCAACCATTCTGGAAAATTATACATACGGGGCCATCCAGCGCCACCGCGTAAATGGTAAAATATCGATTACTTTTACATTTGCTGATACGATAACATATATTTGGTACGTATGTACATTATTTTTACCGCACAAATTATAGATAGCTAGGAGTATATAAATGGTATTTGTATTGTATCACGCCTTGCTAGGTATCAGGGGATACAAAATCCCATTACGAGCTCAAGTAGCTTATTATAGATTGTAATACACGTAGCTAATAATCGTCGTGTCTTAAAATTATGCCCTTTGTTTGTATTTATTTTCGTATGGAAGCCTATAATCATATATAGTGTGCATCATTTTTAAGCTTTTGACTGTAGATTTGTTACCAGAGGGGGGAAAAGAGAGGAAAAAGAAATGGCATTGTTTTACTTTGCAGGCAGAGAAGAAAAGCAATCAAATGACTGGGGATCTCCCGATGAGCCAATAATATGCCAAGAAAGTTGACGGCCGACATTTGCGTTAGTAATTTGCCAACTTCCATTCTATTCTTCAAGGTTCGTCATCATCCCATCTATCTCACTAATGAAAATTTGCAGTAGGTTAGGTTAAGCAAGGAGTGGATTTAGATTTTGGATTTTTAAATTTTTTTGTTTTTCATTTTGGCCCTTTTTCACCAAAAATTTGGGTTTAAAGATGCGTCTCCAGTCTAGTATCCTCTTCTCCTCTCGAGGCATGGAATTTTTCAAAATCTTGAGATTTTATATCTCAAAATTTAAAATTTCTAGATTTGTTGGATTGCCATTTTGATTTCGATTTCTAGTTTTTTTTACGTTTTCACTTTTAAAATAAATCATTAATATCCTGTCCATTTTATGAATTTTTTATTTTGAAAATTGCAAAGTTGAGATTAGATTTGTTGGATTGGCATTTTGATTTTGAATTCGATTTCTAGTTTTAGGTTTTTACTTTTAAAATAAACATTAATAGCCTACCAATTTTATGAATTTTTTATTTTGAAAATGGTTTTAAAATTGCGAAGTTGAGAATTAGATTTGTTGGATTGCCATTTTGATTTTGATTTCGATTTCTAGTTTTAGGTTTTCACTTTTCAAACAAAACATTAACAGCCTGGCCAATTTTATGAATTTTTTTATTTTGAAAATGGTTTTAAAATTGCAAAGTTCAGATTGAGATACAAAATATGCACACAAAAAATATAGATTTTTGCATTCAAATTTACTTTTTTACATTTTTCCTCCTCGCTTCCTCGCACGTTCTTTCCATTTTCAGGCTTATGCATCTTTTATTTCTCTTACCTTTTTCTCTCCTATATTCTCTCTCCAAGTTTTCGCACTTAAATAATTAACGTTATAGCCGTACTCTAATATAAAAAATAATAAAATAAATGTTACTTTTAAATAATTAAGTTCGTAATAATGAATTACTGTATCATTGAGAAAACATATTTTGATTTCCTTTTTTTAATAAAGGAAGCACTTGTTTTATCTTATTAACGGAAAACTGAGGATTTTGCGTTCTTTAAAAAATAATCTTTTAAAGTAAGACTAATTTTTGCTAGTTTTATTATTTGTTTTTAAAGACGAAAAAGAGAGAAGGAAAATGGTAGGTTGTATCTCAAAAAAGAAGATTAAGGGTTTGATCGAGTGATTTTGAAATCGTTTAAATCACATTTGTCATTTTAAAAATTACTTTAAAATATGCCTTTGATATTTAAAATGCATTTTGGTTTAAATCACATTTGTCATTTTAAAAATTACTTTAAAATATGCCTTTGATATTTAAAATGCATTTTGATTATATAAAAAATGTAATTAGAATATAAAATGTTTAAAATGACAAATGTGATTTAAACGATTTCAAACTCTAGAATATAAAATCAAACATTAAGATTCTATTTAGATGGACCTTCTAAATGCCTAAAATTTATAAATACTTGTAAACAATTCAAACAAACATAACTTTTAAGAACTTGGAAAATTAATCCAAACAGGCATTAAATTTATTTCGAATGATTAAAGCATGTTTTGATGTGATATTAAATAAGTTTTTAAACACTTATATATTCAATCCAGACAAACATTAAATTAAACTTTTAAGCACTTGTAAAATCAATCCAACGACTATAAAGAGTAATAGAGGAAGAGATTTTAGGGAGTTAACGTTTGAGGAAAAAGAAGATTTAAAGAAATATTTAGAAACATGAATTTAGAAAGAGAAAGTAGGTTAGATACGTGGAAATGCATTAAAAGAGACGACTGATTGATAAATCTTCCTAGAAGTAATCATCAAATACATTTGGTTTTAAATTTTAAGAAATAGAAAATCTAAACACAAACTAAAAAAGAAACATTAGGAATCGAGACCCCTAATAGCATCCGACGATCTTCAGTTCGAATTCATATGAACTAAATAGAACAATATTTAACATGAAAAGGCCACCAGAAATTGAAAAATGAAAAGCGTGACAGATGATGGAAACTGAACTCGAAGACCCTAAAATGTCTACGAAACCCTCCATAAAGTCGTATAAGAAAAGCAAATGGATCAATTATTTAATTATTTAGCCGGCAATGGAAAATTAAAGTATATTCTGACCAATTTGACAATCCAAACTGACATAATCATACTCAAAAACTTGGAAATCCAAAATTAACATGATTTACGAGGACAAAAATCAATGTTTAATCTGTGTGGCCCCCCTCCCTTCCCCAGTTAGAAAAGGAAGATGGAAGGATTGTAGTACCTTATTATTCACCAAGGCGGAGACTCCCCTGTAGTGTCGTTACGAACAAAATTTGTGAGTCGCAATCAAGCAGATTTTGTCACCTCATGAATGGAGTTTGCCAGGTATGATACGTTCCCGCTTGTAACACCTGCCATACTGTTTAGACACTGATTTCGTGAGCAAACAGACCACTTATGCCCCCATTTTAATACATCGAGACCACTTATGCCCCCATTTTAATACATCGCTTTTAGTTTTCCGTTTCTGGAACTTAGACGGGTTTTCTCATTTATTTATTTTGATTTCCATTTTTAAGATAAAAGAACATTTGAAATCATATTTTTAAGTTTCTAAAATTTGAGCATTTTGCTGCGATTTTGAAAACAATTAGAAGGAAGATAATAAAATAAAGATATTTTAGTAGTGTTTGTTAAATAATGAGGAGCCCAAAACATAAACTAACGCCGCCCCATTTTTCCTGTTTAAAAGTTCTTTAAACCTATTTTCAGAAGTAGCTATCGGTAGACTTAATAGAAGTCGAACTCGATGGTCGTGGGTTTAGTTCTATATTTTTTCACGAAAAAAATAGGAAGAAACAAACAAACATAATATTCAAACACATGAAACTAAAAATGAAAGACATTATCAAACCAACACAATTTATTTTTGAAAATTGTGTTTGTTCTCACAAATTGTTAAATGCAGTTTTCATTCTTTCTAAGTAAACGTTTGAATTCTTAACTAAATTCTACAAACAAAACACATTTCTAAAAACTATTTTTTTTTTTAATTATGAAAAAAACCAATATATGATTGTGGTATTTTAAGCTTAATTCTCAAAAATCAAAAACTCAAATGGTTATTAAACAAAGTCCAACATTTTTCAAATACTAAACCAAAATTTGAAAACTAAAAAAACAATTTTTTTTTTTAAAAAAAAAAACTAATTAGCAAGTTTGAAAATTGACTTGGATTTGATTTTACCAAAGAAATTATGAAGAAGCAAAACGCAACAAACCAAGACATAAAAAAAAAAAAAATTAAAATTTTAGAAACAAAACGATTATCAATCCAATGCATGTGTCTAATTCATTTATGAAATTACCTTATGCGGCCATTTCGAGTCATGTAAATGTGATATTCATTTGTCAAACGGTCGACCTGTTCGGGTGTCAATCCACTGTAACAGAACATGCCAATCTGTTGCAATGGAACACCAAAAAACCAATAAAGATTAGCAAATAGATAAAAATATAATAAGAAAAATACTCAAGACTGCGTCTTCCACCACACCCATCCTTCTTGCGACTAATCACCGAATGACAAATTCTTCTTACAGTTTTCTTTAAATATTTATAAGTTATTATACTGTGGGGTTGGAGTTGACAGCAAAAAAAAAAAAAAAAAAAAAAAAAAAAAAAAAAAAAAAAAAA